GTTAATATATATATATATATATATATATATATGTATATATATAATTTCTGTAGTATTTTGTTAGCTAATTTTATTTTTTGCATTTTTGCATATAAATTTTAAGAACAAATATTAAAGGTATAAAAAAGTTACATCTCAATAAATGTAGCAGAAATATTGTTTACTTTAAGCAAATCACCAAATCTATGGTCCAGATTTCTAAATCTGCATACAGATATCGGTGTGCAGCAGAGCACCTAGCACCAAAATATTTTAGCACTTGGATGAAAATCATCATATTGCAAAGTTATTTGAAAGCATGGGGAGTATTTATCCAGGCTCAAGCTTCTGATACCAAGGGAGGATACAAGCAGCTGACACTGGCTCTGTAACTACTCTAGTCTTAGAGCTAATGAAGCCTTCCACCCAGCAATGTTAGGGTTTAGGTGAAGTTTTGGCTCTTCATTGGAACTAGCCATGGCAGAGGGTTGCTGCAGAGCATACTGTCACCCTTCCCTACCCCTCTGCACTGAGGAGGGGGGTGTGCAATGCAGGTGCTTCAGCAGAGCAGATTCTTTGACCATGAACACAAGACCATTACCCTTTTGCACCACTCTTACAATAGTGTGCTGACACCACTCTGCTACAGAGCTAGAGGCTGTCTTGGTGTAGCAGTGCCATACCTTTGATTGCAAGAGCAAGGACTGAGGCAATGTAAACCTGGCCTCATTAATGATCCTAGGACTATCTTGCAAGGGTTCTCCTAACATTGCTGCACACAGAGTACTTCCATGAAAGAGGCATGTCTTTGTTTTAGATGCTGAGAGAATGCTGCATAGATAATATTTCCTACCTCATCAGCAAACCATACTGTACTTATCTTGGAAACTGCTCTGCTATTAGATTGGCTCATGATATGGTGTCTGCAGTCCTTGAGCAATTATTTTTGCTCATTTTTTTTGGCTCAGAACAAGGACAGCTTTCTGTAAAGTAAGTGCTGGCTCAAGCATTCTCTGCTTTTCCCCTCTGTGTGTTTGCATGTGTGTGTGGTGGATATATAATGATGTGATATCTTTGCATCTAGAGCCTGGTTATTTTCTCTCGCAGCCTATGTCAAGTCATCAGACGTGGCTGTGTGGTGCCATGAAATAAATCTCCCTTAAAAATTGGAATATTGGTCAGGGACTGAGCTGGGCTCAACACCCATCAGTAAACAGTAGTTGGGTTATTCTGCTCCGATGATGACTTCGCTATTCCTTCTGATACAAACACATGAACTGGGGTTTCAGGGACTGAGGTCATGTTGTGGGGTCACATTCAGCACTGTGGTTTGTTTGTGAGGCTGGAGGGAAGCCTTTATACCGGGGGCCACCTGGACTGCTCTTTCATGGCAGAGACTTCATAGTTTCATGGCTACATTGAGATGTAGCTGCTTCCCTGGGTGGGGCTTTATTTGTATGCCTGGCTTTTGTTTGCAACAGTATGCAAATATGAGTGTCCTGCACCTCCAGATAATGACAAGGAGTGGAGTTAATTTTTAAGGAGAAGCTGTATAAGCATGCCATAGTTAAAGTTCTTGATGTAAAGAAAGTCACCAATTCACAAAGGAATTTGATTACCTCTATCCATTATACACACACAGTGAGTGATCATGCTACTAACCATCTGTCATCTATTTCATTTGCATCATCAACACCTGCCCTGTTTATCTGCTACATTCTTTTCTTCGCTGAATTCTTACACTGCTTTAATAAAATACAGAAATGTTATTGTTAAAAACCAATTAATTTACAATCCTCCATAGAGATAGTATTACTTATAATTCAATTTAGCTTCTAATGACCTGCTTTCTTGCAAAATGACTTAATTCTAGTGTCAAAGATTAGTTATTAGACATTACCCTGCTGTACCAGTCATGTACTGCTGAGACAGGCAAAGCAGCTCTAGGTGTCCCTGGTCATTAATCAGAACTCGAAGACATTTTCCCTTTAACTCATTACAGAACCTGACTTCATCTGCCACTTTAACTCTTTGTTTTATGGAGTATTTTGAATCTGCCTTTCCTCCTCTTTTCATAATTTGGGCCTTCACTGGGGAGAAGAGCTGGATGTCTGATTGCCTCGGAGTATACTGTCACTGCCTGTGCTTTCTGCTGACCCTCTACCCTGGAGTTCATTCTGTGTCTCAACCATTATGTGAACGGGGCATGAAAAGTGATGCTTTCTTTTCCCTGCATCTTTTTTTTGGAAATTAACACAATTGGATTTTCCACACAATTACAGTGCTGGGTGTAGTTGCGTTCTTACTACAAAAAAATGGTCTTACAAACATATATCACAGAGGCAAACTTGCTTCCATGCAAGTAGTTTGGCAAGACAGCTATCTCCAGCCACCTCCTTCCTGGGCTTCACAAAGGGAGTGATGAAGCAAGAGGTTGAATCCAGCCAGTTCTTGAAGCATCATCTGGGCCCTTGGGCATTTGGAGGAAATGTCTTGTTTTGCACTTTGCATGAGGGTATTTTTATATGGCATATTGATGTTTCATATACAAAATACTATGCACAATCTAGGGCTGGGTCAAATTATTTTTTCTTGCTGTATCCCAGGCAAGGGTTGGCTTTCCTTACTTTTTACTAGTATGGCTTCTTCTTTTTTCTCAAGTGGTGAAACACTTCAATGGGAATAATGTTATTTGTACATCATGATACGCTAGTAAGGATGGATTTGGTCTTTGGAAAACAGCCTAAAGCACAATTCTTTGCCTTTTGGTTTCTGTGATACATGAGAGAATTACCTGCCATCAATTTGAACTCCAAATCTTCAGAGTATTTTAGCAACAAAGAACACAAAAATTGCATATATGAGTTGATTGATTTTATATAGAAATTGAACCTTTTAAACAATTTATGATGACTTAAGCTTTTTAGTAATTATATACAGGGTGTCTTAAAATGTATAACAAATTTAAAACTTAATGCTCATCAAAGTCTAATCATGGAGATGGGATGAGTGGCAGGATTTAATATGGAAAATGTTATTTCTTCCACTCGCATTCAAGTCTATATGCTGTAGATCTACATCCAATAAAATCTTATTTTTGAATGAGTTTAAGTGGTGCAGCTTAGGCTGGGTGAAGATTTTTATTTTCCCAAAATACAGACACTTCTGTCTTTTGAAAACCAAGAACCTACTGTTATAAAAGGCAAACAATGTCTCATCTGACTTCTTGACAACTGCATGCCATGCTGGAAGAATAAGAGATGCTCATTATTTTCCTAAAAACACAGGAATTGGCTGTACAGTGTAGGCTGATGAAACTTCAACAGCTGTCTTCTAGGAAGCAGTTTTTTTTTCAGAATAGACTATCAAGGGACATGCGAATAGTACACCAGACTAACTCTTAAACAACAGGCATTCTTACAAATGATGAAACTCAGCTATGAGCGCCTAAGAATAACCTCCTTTGGATGGCAGGGGTGGAATGTTGCTCTTCGTGTACTGCAAGTACTAAAGCCTTACATAAAACATTTTGCTGGGTGAATGTTCTGTTTATACAGCTTATAATATTTGCAGACAAAATCCATCTGAAACACTGATATCTTAAATACTACAAGGATCAACCCTTTGGACAATATGGTAAATCTCTTTGTATGAGAATCCTTAACAATGCTGCTTTCCAAATGATATACAATTATTGCTTCAATCAGACTAATAAATAATTCACATTTCTAAATGGTTTCTATGCAGGGTAATAGAGCAGTATGGTAGGGTAGGAAACATCCAGCTAGAGCCTAAAACATCTTCAGACATAATCCTAAAATAATCCTGTTTTCAAATGGTAAAAGTTCGTGCCTCCTGCTCAGGCAGCACATCATCAGCATCCAGATCAGGAGTTATGCCAAACTAGCTGTAATCTAATATGGAAATGAGATGTTGGCCTTGATATTGTGTCATTCTTCTGAATGGGATCACCTGCACCCATATCTCCTAGGAGGAAATTTCAAACAGAGTTAGCTCCTTAAACCTTCTAATTAAAATGAGAAATCCCCAGGCTTCCATGACTCAGCCTCAGAAAAAGATTATTAGGAATTTAATAGGGAAAATATCACATCTCAGACCATCTGTGACCCAGTGCTCTGTGAGAATTTAAAGAAAACTGGAGGGAGGAGGTGCACGCTCCAAAGCACACTCTAGGAGTACTTTGTTGGAGCTGCAATAAATCAACATAGTTAGAGTACAGCCTTTTTCAGATTTAATTACTGTTACATAATTATTAGCAAAGCAGTCTCCTCTGAAACTGTAAAACTCATTACATCAAAAATCCCCAAGCTCCTGATGGAATTTATGAACTAGTTACTTTCTTCCTGGCTCTGGGAAATGCAATAGGTTGTATTCTGTTTAATCTCCAGCAGATTTTAGTGTTCTGAGCTATTCTGTTCTTCTTAGTTCCGGGGAACTTTCCATGTTTGCTTTTTTCTTAAAAAAAAAAAAAAAAAAAAAAAAAAATCATGTTCTTTTTCATTTGTTTGCTTTTCTGCTGCTGGCACAGAATCTAGATGTAAACAAGTAGGAACATTTCATTTCCCCCATCACTGTAGAGATGCCACTGATTGAGCTAAAATATGGATTCCCTTATGGAGGTGCAAAAGAACAAAATTTTATTATTTCTTTTTCCCTGAGGTTTTGCTGTGAATACACAGCTTTAAAACCTCCCAGTGATCTGGACAAGGCCTGTATCAAGTCAACCTGAGGCCAGCCCTTTCCCAACCATTGCTGCCCAGTTTGAAACCTTTGGCAGGAGCCTCCTGGCTCTCATGTAGAATAATGGAGATTGCACGATGGACAGGCTGACACTTAAATCCATAACAACATCTTATGAATAGATGTAATGAGACATCCCCTCAGAGAGCTGAATGAACAGGTGAGGAATGGCAAATGGATACTGTAAGATCCAATTATTTCAAATCTAGAAAGGCTGGGCTGAGCAGAAAACCAGGTGATAACAACTGCAGCAATCCTTACTTTCTTACTTCTTCCTTTAGCCAGGAAATTGCAGACCTTGTGCTAGCACAGCCTGGCTATCAGCCCTGGGAAGTATTCCTAAAGCTATCACTTTGGCTGCTTATTAACTCAGGAATCACACTGACATGCTGGGGTAAGTATCATAGTATTTTCAGAGGTGACTCAAAGGTAATCAAAGTTTTTACCTATGTCACAAAGATGAAATTATGTTTACCTGTTGAAATTGCTGTGATAATTGCTAGAACAAAGAATTTTGTTTTGTTTCTTCTTGAGATGCTCTCCTCAGTTTGTGGCATCAGAATGTAACTGCTTTTCCTGTGTTCACTCTTCTAAAATATAAATTTGTGGTAATATAAATCTTTTTTTTTTTTTAAATGCAAAACAGTAAATCTTAAAATAAGAACTTTATAAAAGCCCAACATTTATAGGTTCAATCCAATTTTATTTATCTATAGATATAACTCATGTCCCAGGGTTTAAACTAGTAACTTAGAAAACCTGAGGCACTGAGCTATGCTGGATCAGGAATATAGGGAAATTTGGTTTTGATCTGCATTTAATATGATTTAATTATATTCACAGATATTTCTATTAGTAGGTATTACAGGTTACAAAATAACAAGAAATCCATGAAAGACAATAAAATTTAACTTATTTTTGCATGACATTTTAGTGTGATCTGAATCCTGAAATGCTTAATAGTGTTAAATGATACATTTATAGCACCCCAAAAGAGAGATTAAGGAAGCAAGTGAGTAAGAGCCCTCTTTCCAAAAAGAGGAATACCTCGCTCAAGGATCGGTGCTTCACGCTGTACCAGCTAAAGTGAAGTTTCCTGCACTACATTCCTGTTAGACAATAGATGAACGGATGCTTTAGAGAGGAAGAGAGAAGAGTAGAAACATTTGGAACTGGATTTTTAAACAAAAGAGGGGTCAGTAGTGTTCAGTAAAAATAAGATTGTTTTTTTTTATTATTATTTTTATTTTTCTCCAAGGAAAAAGCAGTTCCTTGAAGCATTCTGGAGTAGATCTTGGGCGGGTCAGGAGATCATAAGGAACAGAAATTACAATAGCTAAGGTAAGAGGAATGAATAGCTTAATCCTTGTTGGTGGGCTGAAGAAGAAAGAAATGTATCTAAAACAGAAGATTAAGATAGGGCATAAAAATAATCCTAGTACCATCCATTAAATTCATTTGAACTGCAGGGACCTCCATATAAATCTAGGTCAGGGAGAGAAGAAATAAAAGCATCCTTGAAGGCTCTTTCCTTATCTGAACAGCTCTTCCTCTAAAGCATCTCAGTGGAAAACTGTACTGAGCTTATTTTCTTGGGCACGTTATCACTTTGTGAAAGATGGGCTCAGGATGCTTATTGGCATAGAGGCAGAGAGCATGATTTGGGCAGATATGTGGGCCACTGGGTAAAGCATCAGATTGAGGTCTCAGACACTTGAGCAAGTTACCATAGCCTAATGAGTTCCTGTGTAGCAGCTGAGCTGTTGCAAATGTAGGGTAGCACACGCTAATTTATACTATTTTTGCTGAGGCTCAGCTGATGTATGGCAACCATTAAGCCAAGGTAACTCAGTCATATGTCTGAAATCTGATTTCAAGAATGTGGGTTCAGCTCAGTTCAGGGGTTAGGTCATCGGGCTTCTGCTCACTTCATAACTTCTCTGGGCAAACACTTAGTTTTCTTATATACATATAAGAAATATACATACAGCAGTAATGGTGACAGCTTACAATTATGAAGTGCTTTGGGGTAGAAGAGAGGGTAAGGTCATTATTTTTTATCTGTTGGTGGTGGCTTTTTTGTTTGTTTGTTTGCTCTGTGTGTGGGAAGAGGAATACTATGTTGCTATTTGTTGCTGGGTAGAAGCATGGAGTATATTGAACTTTCTGAATTTCATGTGAAGTTTTCCTGCTTGTCTTCATTAATACCTGAGTAAATCTTAATACCTTCATTAATACCTGAATAAAAGTGTTTAAAGGGCTTCTGCTGGTATAAATGAGGACAGGATTTTGCCATAGGGATATAGCCTTCTGTTGGTGAGCACATATAAACTCAGCTGTGATTTATCATAATTCTGGTAAGTGCTGAGGGAAGAACAGAAAAATAAGAAAATATCCTTGCTTTCTCTCTAGATTTTGCTTTTCATTTACACTCTATGATTCTACATTTCTATTAGGGCATTTTGGAAAGTACCATGCACTCCTATCTTCCTATGAAAAGAGAAAAGTGCACAAATATTCACACTCCCCCCTCCATTTTTTTGGATGGTGTTCTTTTTTAGCATTTAATATTGAGAGTTTTGGTTTCTCCCTTGTTTGAAATGAAGGTGTTCCCCTGTGGAAGGATTTTCATTTTATCTTTGTATAGTGATCATAACATGTGGCACTCCAGACAGCTATTCTACTCGGAGCTGAAAAACACCAAGCATTTCCTTTAATACTACCAATAAACATTTGTGTTATTTTTTTCCATAAAGTGGTACTCCAAGCACCGTGCCAGTTCTTCAAGTGACAGATTCTTTCAGAGGCGGAAGAAAAGTATCAGTATTTATTGATTACTATAAGTATTTCTGAACAGTTTAAGAAGCACAAAGTCCTAAAATATTTATGCATGCACATCAGTTACAGTACTCTGCTACCATTTATTGGGTAGAATGACAAAATACATGCATCAGAGTTACGATTGCTGTGATAATTACTTGAGGGAATCACTCCATAATGAAAATTAAAAATAAAACCATGTACAGTGATTAAATATTTGTGGAATGATTTATGCTAGAGTCATGAAGGTGTTTCATATTTCAAAATATTTGATCCAGAAAATGAATGTCCTGCTGCAAAAATTGACATCATTGTATTCTTGCAATAACATCTCTAAGAATTACAAAGGACTGTGGTTCTTGTGTACTTGTAATCAATTTCCTGTCTTTCTCCTCTTGTTTCAAAAGGACTTTCCGACAACAAACTTGCAAATCACCGCAAAAACGATCAGTTATCACTCCGGTGTGTATTTAGAGTAGATGATAATATGGAACAAGAGAGCAAGAATCAAAGACCGTGGTTTGGGGGTCCTCCCTCGTAAGCATAGGCCGCCTCTGCCTAGTTATTCATCAGACTAAAGATTTTCAACAGAGCTGTGCTAACCCCCTCAGCTACTGCTTCTGGGCTGGCAGTAGCAGCTGTCTCTTACCATTATGCCCCGAGGAAGCAATGGCATTTGCCAGCAACTCCCTTTGTGTCTAACTCATTTCCTACATTCTCTTATTTCATTTGCATAGTCAACTGGTCCTTATGCCTCAAGAAAATCAGGAGAGCATCTGAGGAATAAGTTGTTAGAAATGAAGTTTTTAAACATCACACCAGGAGGTGCATGCACAGACCTCATTATATTCCCAACAGGTCTGCCAGCTCACGAGAACATAACACACCAGAGAGATGCTCTCTGTACTAACAGTTGACAGGGCTAAAATAAAGGAGGCATCTCTCTCCCTGCCATCTCAGAAAATCTCTGTGTAAACTCAGCAAAATATTTCTGATCCTACTTTCCATCGTGACACTCTTCCTGTGGACAGACCTTTATTGATGTCAGAAGTGTTGGAAAGAGTAGGACTTAAGTTTTAGCAGGCTGCCTGCTTCCATTGTTCTTTCCTCCATCTGTCTTCTTTCTTTCACAGTAATTTAGCCTGGGGTCGTCCCAAAAGCGTCAATTAGAAATTAGTCAAAATAACCTGAAATCCTGGAAGAGGTTAGATCAGAGACTTGTTTTACTGAACCACTTCACAATCAGGAGTTCAGCATCGGTAGTGCTTTCATCTTTGCTGTTTTTTCCTATCTGTAGTTAGCTGGGCTGCAATGGCATGCTGATGCCTTTGCCACCCACAAGAAATCTGGTAAAGGTGCTTTCCAGGTGAGCAGCTGCATTGACACCAACCACTCTGAGCAACCAACGCATACTGATGCCTTATAGGTCTCTCTGATAAATAAAAATAATCAAACTCCCCCTTCCTACTCATTTGCACAAGCCCAGGGGCTATTGGTAAATATGACCTCCTAGTTGTGGATGGTGCTCATGCCTTTGTTAGGTGCTTTCAGTAACTGAAGGCTGTTGCTTGATGTATAGTGGTCTCATGATGCGAAAGGCTCTTTTCCACCCCAGCCCCGTGCCCTCTCATTCTTAGTGTGAGCATTACTGGGGTTGTGCTAGGTATGATTTCCCGGCTATAAGAGTGAACAGGTACAGCACAGCTGATCAGTGCTGTACCCAGCCAGCTGCTGACATCAAACAAGTGGCAAAGATTCAATCACAAGATCTATTAATGAAAATATGATATTTCTGTGATTATTCTGTGATAACCTATGATTTTGGCCTTAATCGCTGTTGACCTGGTACTGACCACTGTGATGCTGCAAATGCCAGTAGCCTGTCTGAAACAACAGGGAAAACACACTGGGAATCTCCAATGGTATTATTAGCAAAGGCGGTCAGAGTACTTCCAACAAAGCAAAAGTGCTTCAAAATATCTTGCTTTGGTTATGAGGAAGACTTCATCAGATGGGTTTTTTTGAAGGAGGGGGGAAAGTGACAGAATGAGTATTGCTGTGACCTGTGTGGGCTTGCAGCCTGGTGGCTTGAGCTGTGGTGTGGAATGCTGATATTTACAGCCCTGCTAAATTTATTCAGAAAGAGCACGGTTTAACACTTCTGCTCTCAACCAGGCAATTGATCAATCAGACATAAATGTAGAGGCATATATGCACTGTAACCACTCTCCAGTGGCCTTTGTTAGGCAATCAAGAACCTGGTGTGTCTGGAGTTTGGTGTGGTCTTGGTTCTTGAGGAAGATATGAGAGATGTGGCAAGGTTCCTTCAGACATGACAAGGTTCTGCCACAAGCCAACTCAAAATACAATAGATGTGCAAAGCACTGCCTTTCTCTACTTTATGTGTTCAAACTAATCACAGTGTATATTATACACATATAACTCTGTGTATGTTATGCAAAAACTCAGCAGTACATCACTAACAATCATGGTGCATATCACTGTCAAAATTTAGGCTCTAAAGCTGTTTTTAGTTTTTGTAGTCAATGCTGATGCTGTGTCACCTTATTACAATGCTTTGGTCCTGCTGGCTTCAAAACTGTTACTGGATAATCAGTACTTTTCAAAAATCAACCATCATGGTCAGGAGACTGAACTGGTAATAGACTGACTGTGGACACCTGATTTTTAAACATTGGTTGTATCCATGGTTCTATAAACATATGTAGACATTTCTCTGTCTTATGTAAGATATGATAATCCCATATTAAGTTTGTGTGTTTGGGCTTGTTTGGACTGTTGTACCTATGTAGAAACCACCTAGAACAGCTTTTCTGCCAACAAGCATTAGTTGACTTCAGATGCCTACAGACCATTCTGCAAATGAGTCTCTGTAGTGACCAGGGATCCTAAAATTGAAGCCATATGGAAACTTACTGTGCATATTAAATTGCATGCAGCAGTGTTAACAGCATTTTGATTTGTGGCTGCAAGTAATAAATGAATTATATTAATTTTGTAGCTGCAAGCTAATTTCTCCAGAATTACTTTTTAATAACCAGCATCATGTTCACTAGTAAGATTTAAATACATTTAGGAACAAATTTGAGGATTTTTTTATTAAAAAAAATAATGCTATATTATCATTTGAGACTGAGTTTATTTAATAATTCTCTAGATACTTCAAAGTAAAATATCACGTGGCAATTGAATGAACTGCAGACCAGACTACGTATACATAGTGTGGAAACTGGTCAAATCACAGGCAAAATGGTAAAGTAAGCAAACAATTTGTGATGGACTCCATGCTGTGTACTGTTGCCTTCACACATATTGGGCTGCAGAAGAGAAGAGGCAAGTTCAAAATGGATTTAGCATGTGTGTTCCCAGGGTTATCCCTCCTTGTGTGCAGTGCTCCTTGCCAGTAACTGGTCCTTTTTGGAGGAGGAGCTGCTTCTCAGACATATCATAGGTGACTAAGAATATGAAGCATGATTCTTGCCATCTGGGATTGGTAGAGA